ATTAGTTTTCATGTCTTGTTTACAACACCCTGCTAATACATCCCAGAATGATGTTTTCTTTTTTTGTAACAGTGTTACACAGTTGACTTATATTTATCTTGCGATCTACTATGACCCCCCAGATCCCTTTCTGCAGTACTCCTTCCTAGGCAGTCATTTCCCATTTTGTATGTGTGCAACTGATTGTTTCTTCCTAAGTGGAGTACTTTGCATTTGTCGTTATTGAATTTCATCCTATTTACTTCAGATCATTTCTCCAGGTTGTCCAGATCATTTTGAATTTTAAACCTATTCCCCCAAAGCACTTGCAACCCCTCGCAGCTTGGTATCGTCCGCAAACAAGTGTACTCTCTCTGCCATTATCTAAATCATTGATGAAGATATTGAACAGAACTTGAACCAGAACTGATCCCTGTAGGACCCCACTTGCTATGCCCTTCAAGCTTGACTGTGAACCACTGATTACTCTCTGGGAATGGTTTTCCAACCAGTTATGCACCCACCTTATAGTAGCTCCATCTAGGTTGTATTTCCCCAGTTTTTTTATGAGAAGGTCATGTAGATCATCTAGTCTGACCTCCTGCATATCACAGGCCATTAAGTTTCACCCAGTTACCCCTGTGAAAGGGTTGACTCAATGCTAGCACCTCCTTATGGCCAGGCATGGCATAGCAGCTCTCTTCTGATCAGGTACCACCTGCCAACCAATGCTCTGGGCCTGCAGATATCTGCCTCTTCCTGTGACTTGGCCCTCTAGCCAGGTCACTTTACAGTCTTGCCCCTTCCGGGATAGTCAACTAACAAGAACAAGGAGACTTAACATAAATAAACTGAGTTCACAGGTAAAAGTGGGGAATGGTTCCCTCTCAAGGTGTGTCAGCATCCGACCATCCCTTTCCTCAGGAAGGGCCCATGAAGGAGAGCATATTGTTGGGTGGGGAGCTCCTGCCTTTGGTCAGCCCTCTCTTCAGGAGCTGAGCCCTGAGGGCCTGCTCTCCTTCCTGGTGTGCCATCAACTAGCAGGGACTCTTCCTCTTAAGCTCCTCACTCCAAGACTAACATTTCTCACACGTGCAAAGGAGCAGAGCCACCTGCACCCACATTAGCTCGTTAACCCCATATTGTCCCATGTGGGGTTTGTTTATCCCAGCACACCTCTATAGTGATCCCAAAGACTTCAGTTAGACTAAAGCATTTTAATCCTCAGGAAATTTAACTGTTAAGTGCCACAGACAGAGAACAGGGGAGACCAAGGTGCCACCAATGGTCAAGGCCTTTGCAATGGTAAGGAATTGATTAGGTGAGATATACACAGATGATCCTACCAGGAGATCCACACCCAGTGCTGCAGAGGGAAGGAAAAAGAAACCCCAAAGGTCACTGCCAATCTGACCCGGGGGGGAAATTCCTTGCCAACCCCAAATCTGGAGATCAATATGATCCTGAGCATGTGTATTAGGTTCAATATATCTTACCTAGTGTTTTCTTTAACAATGTTGCCAAAGAAGTGACAGGACCAACTTGTTTCACCCATTGTTTTAAACTTAAACCCCAAACACTGGAAACCCTGGTTGTAGGTCATCTTCAAGTGTCTCCAAACAACAGTGTCCTCTGCAGGTGGGCAGAAATGCTGGGCACATTGATGGATGACTCACGGGGTAGCTTTTTACCATATTACTTTGGATGTCAACAGGTCTCTGAATTAATCAGTGTTCTGGAGCAGTATGCGACTGGTTTCAGTAGACTATTAAGATCTTGCAGTAATAGTCCCCTTAATTCATAATCAGTGGCATCCATACCTATAATGGTTGGGCTTACTGGCAACATAGGAAGTAAGTATTGGGGCTTCAGATAGGAGTTGTTAGACTCTGTAGAATGCCTGCTCTGGTGCTTGCTCCAATCCAGGTGCTTGCCCTTCTCAGGAGTTAGTCAAAGGATGTATTGTTTCTGACAGGTTAGATATACATCTGCCAAGCTAGTAAATCAAACCTAGGCTTCTTTTCAGTTCTAGAATAGATTCAGTAAGCTGCCTTTCCTTAATGGCTTTACTCTGGAGCTTGGCTTTCATCTGGAGCATTTATAATATGTCCAAAGAAGTCTAGCTGTTTCTGGTTCAGCAAGCACTTCTCTTCACTGTGCTTCAGACTTGCAGACTTTATTGTTTCCAAGACAATAGACATTCTTTCAACATATTCCTCTTCCTTGTTTTCCAGTGTTCTGGTAGCATTCACTGGCTTTCCTATGGTGTTCATTATCATAGTATCTGAGTGCCTCACATACATCAATGAATTTGTTTTCACAACATCCTTTGAGGTAGGGAATTATTACTATCCCCATTTGACAAATGGATAACTGAGGCACAGAGAAATTAGCTGACTTGATTAAGATCACTCATAGTGTCTATGGCAGACCTGGGAACAGAACACGTCTCCTGAGTTCCAGTCACAAGACTAGTCTTCTTCTCCAACCCATAGCCATGTACTACAATATCATCTGCAGAAGTGATTACAGTGCTTATTCCAGGTGCTTCAATATTTATATCTTTTTCATTTGGAAAATCTCCGGTGTACTAGTAATGCAAAGTGCAAATTTTCAGAAATAATGCAGTCTCAATAGCATGATAACAGTTATTAACTTGGCACTGTCTGGATATACAGGCCTTTGCCAAAAAACAGCTGCAGCATCTAAAGGAAAAATATAGTGGCTGCTCTGTGAGAGATTGCAGAGAATGGCAGTGTTCTGTCATTTCCTTTGTAAAGAGAGGAACCAGTTGGTGTAAGACCAGCTCCCTCCAACCAGGAATGTTGAGGTTCCCTCCTTTCTGTGTCTACATTATGGAAAAAGTTTGTGGTTAGTAAATCTTGACCTCTTACTCTAATATAGACAAACCCTAAATGACCTGCCCAAGCTCACATGGGAAGTTGGAGATAAACTCAGGAATTGAATCTAGATCTCCTGAGAGCTATGCTAAGTACCTTAACCATAAGGCCATATTGGCTCTTTCTAGATAAGCATCTCCAGTTGACAGCAAATTAGACATGAATTTACACTATGACCATAAAAAAGGCCAGTGTCCCTTTAGGTTTCACATACAAAATGCATGGCATCATTGAACAAAAGGGTGATAGATTCTCTCTCCTGTACTATATATGGCTCTTGTGCAACTGCCCATAGAATATTGCATTGAGCATCTCACTACCTCAAAGACAGTAACAAAGTGGAGAAAGTGCAAAGAATAGCGACAAAATGAACTTGGGTCTAGAGAACTTGATTTAGGAAGCAAACGAGGTAGAGGGATATGATTACAGTCTGCAAACATTTGATAGGTGCAACACCAAGGAGGGAAGGGAATTGTTTAGGGTATTACATGGTGGTATAATTAGGAGTAATGGGATGAAATTATGAGGAGAAAAATGTGGATAACTATTATGAAAAAGTCTTAATGAAATGAGATGTGGAATAGTCTCCCTAGAGAAGTAGCTGAAGCGCCATTGCTTGGGACTGTTAAAACAAACCAATAATAGGGAACAATCCTGCAGTGGCTGGGAGATGGACTGGGTGAGCTAGGTCTTTTCCATCTCCAGCTTCGATGATGAAAGTGTTTTTAGATCCTTCAGGATGAAAGGCATTGCAGGAATGTAAGTTATTACTATTCATTTTACACAGATGGACCAAAGAAACCATCAAAAGAAGACATGTTTAAAATTATACATGAGCCAGGAAAGAAAGGTTAAAGTCATTTTTTTATCAAAGTAAGTTAAACTAGGCTAATTGGTGCTATTCAGAGACAGTACAAGTGATTGATCTCTTGCAACACTAAACTGCAAATGATAATTCAAATCTCAAAAAAAAAATATCTAGCAGAGGTTGCACCAAATAAAGTCATGGCTGGGGAATTAGTGAATTTTAAACCTGAGAACAAGTAGAAAAAGGATGGAATATTTTAGGTGGAGGAATTTTCCTGGCTTTCTGTACAAATAAATTAATGGTGATGATCTGTAAATGGTAGGGCAACTTTCACATTCCTCTGAGATTTTGATGCCTCTTCTAATTTTTCTCACTGTTCAGAATTTTGCTTCATGCTAGAATTAAAGATGGAGATATATTTAAGAACCCACATCCTCCATGACTTTTTCCAGATATAATGTTAATGCAACATTCTGTGTTCTGTATTGTATTCATACATCCTTTCTACTCATTGTAACTATCAAGTCTGATCCTGTGAAGTGATGTGTGCCCTCTGGTCCATATTGAAATTGTGCTGAAAGAGGTGCAATTACACAGAAAATTGTGGGGGAGTGGAGATACATGAGTCTTATATCCATGCTAGCCATCAGCATCAGAAGAGTAAAAGTTAGGGGTAACATATCCTGCTCAGCCCCCGGCAGCTGTTTCTTTGAACGTTGAGGGACTTTCAGATGAAGTGAGAACTCTCAATTCCTTGCAGGGGGTGTTCAGTATCTTGTAGGATGGTCCTTTGACTACGAGCTCTTTTGTGCAGGGACCCTTTTTGTTTACCAAAATTCACATATTATGAGGTAGGATGGTAAAGATTATTGCCACAGTCTTACAGAGGAAAAAGCTAAAAGAGAAGGCCCAAATCTCCATTGACTTGCACTTTGTATAGTCATTGACATAAGTGCAAAGTTGGTGAACATAAGAACGCACCAAAGTTCTCCACTCACACCAGTGCTAGCATTTTATACCCACTTTTCATCCTCTTTGCATTGTTGTAAATGACTACACAAGGTTCAGGGCAATGGAGAATCAGGCAAGGAACTTTTCCAAGGTCCACACAGCAAGTAAATTAAAGAGGATTAAAAAGCAGCTGTTCCTGGCTCCCATCCTTAAATTCCATTCATTGGCCCATGCCACCCCTGCGCTGTAGCTAACTTACTGTAACAATAATAATATCGCTGGTAAGACAGAGACAGCAATGAACATGCAGAGGAATGTTCTGTGACTAATGACCGTTGCAATAATATTTCACATCTTTCTAGGTCTGTAGTGGCCCTTCCCAGCCTCCTCAGCCTATTGTGATTCCGAAGCCTGTTCAATCGGTCATTCATGTACCTTTGCAACCGAGCTGCCCAGGCCGAGGCAAGATGGCAAAACTTCTGAATCCAGAAGAAATGACATCCAGGGATTACTATTTTGATTCCTATGCTCACTTTGGAATCCACGAGGTAAGGCTTTCTTTTCTTGGTAAAAATATGAAAGGGCAACATGGTTTCAGTGATTTCATGGTTGATTTTTTCCCCCCTCCTACTGGATGCACCAATTTGCCAAAGACCTGATTCTGCAGTCTTTACTCATGGCAATGGTTCCTCTGATTAAGTGCTAATGATGAACTCCACCCCTGGGCAGAGGGCCACTTCAAGGCCTATGTATTATTTAAATCTTCAAAAGAGGCCGGCAGGGGTGCATGGAACTTGTGCTGGCTCCCTGCACAGTGGGGAATTTCACCTTTAAGTATGTGGTACTTAGCATGACTATAAGGGTTGCAGAATAGGTCCACCCCCATGGAAAGGACATACCAATTTAGTAAGCTAGCTCTTTCTTTGCTAGAACATTTAAACACAGATGCATACAATACACAGTGGGCCATATTCTCCCTTCAGACATGCATGCCAAGCTCCTATTGATTTCAATGGGAGATGCAAGCATTTATCTAAGGGAAAATTTGGTAAGGACTCCAGAGCAATCTGTCATTTACATTTAATGCCCATGCAGTAATTACAGTGAGGTCATCAAAGTCCATGGCATCCTTTCAGCTGTGACTAACTAGGATTTGTTTCCTTTATTTTGGTTTGTGTTTTGTTGGGATTTTTCATTGTGGGGGAGTTTTTTCCGCCACTTGTGTATTTTGTTTGGCTATTGGGTCTTGTTGCTGTTTGAAATTTTCCTGTTCTTAGTTACATCTTTTTCTGTGCCATGTTCAGAAGGGTTTAGGCATTTTGTAGGAGATGCTGCAGCTTTTAATAGTGATTTGAATGAGGTCAGGTTGGAAGCTTGACAAATAGATTTTGGAAGGACACTCAATGCACAAGGGGCATTATGGAAGAAAACGCAGAGACAGCTGTGGGAGAAGGAGACCAAAAAGGTATTGAAGAAGGCATAACATGATGTGAGGACAATGGAATTGTACAGTTGTACCTAAGGGTTATATTAGAACAGCAGAAATTGTAATACTAATAGTGATGCATGAGACAGAAAGAGCCCAGCTTGTCTCTCAGATCCCAGGGTGAGTTTCAGGAGTAGTAGTTAGAAAAATATTTTTATGTTTGTAAATAAATTGAACAAGTTTGGTATAGAGTCGCTGAGACAGCAGCCCCTCCCTGCCTAACAACCCCTCCCCCTTTGAAATCCACAAAGCCCCAAATATGCATAATTCACACAAAAGGGATTCTCCACAGGAAGGGAGGGAGAAGGTTGCTACCACTTCAGTGCAACTGCCTCCCTCCTTCTGACAGTTATTGGGTAGTTTAATAGCATCCTTGGCATGCAAAAATATGGAGGACAAGATCTGGGCCTTGGCTTGCAAGCAGCTTGGAGCAAAGGATGTGTCATCCTCTCTGTCTATAAAGAGTTACAGGAACATATTTCAAATCTGAGTACCTAAAGCTAAGCCGCTAAATCCATACTTAGGCTGAGATTTTCAAAGCCACGAAATGGATTTAGACATTGTATTCCCATTCCAATTAATGACAGTTGGGCTTGCAAATCCCCTAGGCAGCTTTGAAAATCTCATCCCTAAGGTCAAATTTTATAAAATTCATAAAATATATTTTGTTTTTGAAAATCAGGCCCTAAAAGCACATGCTCTGACACATTATGGCACCATTTAATGTTTCCTGATCAGTAGTGAGAAACAAGCAACATGGGGATTGGACCAGGCTTAATACCGCCACAGCAGCTCCTACTTCATGCAAAGTGGAATCAGACTCCCCTCTCTCCCTTTTCAGTATTTTATATCAAGCCACACTCCATGAGAAAACGTCCCCTTACATGTCAACAGTTATGGATATAACCAGTCCCCTTGAAAGTAACCCGCCCAGGCAGACAGACAGACAAGCAACCAATGTATAGTAATCTTGTGCACTAGTGCTTCCATCTGCTAGGCATTTGGGCTTTCATATATCTTGGCATTCAACACGCAATCATCCTCCTGCCTAAAATTATTCAGTGAGGACAGCAGGAGTAATCACAGTTATTGCCTTTTAGACATAATAGATAACATTTTCACAAGCACCTGAGTGGCTCCTTAGTGCCTAAGCCACTTTTGAAAATGGAATTTAGGTGTCTAAATCACTTGTGTTTTTGAAAATATTTCCCCAATTTGTTTGATTTTCCTCACACTAGTGCAAATGAGGATTAACTCCACTGATGTGAATAGAGTTACACCTATGTAAAATTGGTGTGAGAAAGGAATTGGCCCCTATCAGTGGCAACTTCAGAAGAAGGAACTGAATGCCTAAAGGGACTGATCAAGAGTTAACCTCTAGATACTGCACACATACCCACTGGAAACTGGACTAAGATCCTTCTAGTAGTGAAGCAGTGAGATGCAGGGAATAGGAGAGTAAAATGTGAGTCAGGAGACTTGGGTGCTATTCCTAGGTCTGAAACTATTAGCTGTGAAACTTTGGGCAAGTTTGTTGAGCTGACATGTTCACAAGTGTCTACTCAACTTGAGTGCCTTCGTTTTTGGGTGCCCAAGTAAAGACACCTAGGAAGCTCAAGATGGGCTCCCATAATTATTGGACAATAGAAAATGTAGTCCTCAATCTCTCTGTGCTCCAGTCCCCACCCCCAACTTGTAAAAGAGGAATAATAATAACTACCCCACCTATTGGGGAAACACACTGTCTATGTATTATTAGTTCACCAAGTCATATCCAGGTGAGTAGTGACAGACATTACCTTCTACAGTCTGTCTGGTGACCTATGTGAAACCTATTGGAGTTAGTCTTAGTCCAGTTCCTTGTGGAGGTGTCTTTTTAGTATTATAGTATTTAGTATGGAGGTATTATAAAGACGGCCACAACCACCGCAATGTTCATTCTTTGTGGCGGTCTCAGCAGAAAGCCCCACAGAGGAGGAGAGTGACGAGGTTTGCACCATTTTTGCCTATGCCCACAGCAGTACTGTGGATTGACTATAATTTCTGGTCACCATTTTTAAAAGTAAAATAATATTTGAGGGAAATAAGAGTAGATGAATGAGACAATGCTGATTCTTACTATTTCAACTTCTTCGTAGTTTGCATTTTAAAGTTGTCTTGATCTGTAATGAATCCTGGTTGTGTCCCAAACAAGCTGAAAAACTTTTCAGCTGGTGAATATGTTGAATTTTAATGACGCAGTGAATCCTACCCCATGAGTAAACATGTGATGCCTTCTTTCAACACAGGAAATGTTAAAGGATGAGGTGCGCACATTAACATATAGAAACTCCATGTATCACAATAAACATGTTTTTAAGGATAAGATTGTATTGGATGTTGGAAGTGGCACAGGAATCCTCTCAATGTTTGCTGCCAAGGCAGGAGCCAAGAAGGTGTACGGGGTAAGAAGAATTTTTCCTAACAACTTTATTTTGGAGAAGGAAAGAGGGGGAAACGTAGGTTTCTTTTATTTTTTCATTTGTTTCCATGTCTTGTTTTGACCTACAGCCTTACATTGTGGGTCAGATCCTTAGCTGGCATAAATGGGTGCCACTCCATTGATTCAGTGGAGCTATGCCCATTTGCACCAGCTAAGGATCTGGCCGATGACATCCTTTCAAAAGAGCGAAGGGATCCCTCTTTTAGCTGGTTCGTCTTTCCTTGTGATTGTTGTGTGTGTGGCCTGCACTGATCCTAGTGGGAGGGGAGGGGGGGAACAGTCTCTTTTTCCTGCAAACATTAAAAGCATTTGCTCCTCTTGGAAAAGTTGATAGGGAGTGTGCTGCCTTTTCTGATTTTTCTTATGTTCTTGGGACCTTCAAAGCACCAGAAACAAATTCCTCCAATCTAGCCTCCCTGTGCATAACAACCAAAGGAGCTGAAACAGAAAGCATCTGTAGCCTTTCCATATCCATTACTCCACTCCTCAGAAAAGGCAGGGAATGATTACTTTAAATGTACTGTACACAGGGCCGGCTCCAGGGTTTTGGCCGCCCCAAGCAGCCAAAAAAAAAAAAAAAAAAAAAAA